GCTATGATTAATTATTTTTGCTAAACAAAGTTACACATGAAACACCAGCCTGTTTAAACTGGGAACTTTCCTGACAGCAATCAAGATACAACTACCCACATCTGTTCTTGCCCTGCCTCCCATACCTCTAGCTACTGCTTCTTTGTAGCTTGTCTTTGTGGAATAGAGCTATGAGAAATCTGCATTTCAGTTCTCTCATCACAAGAGCTTAACTACACGACAGCTAAAATAGACACCAGCATTTTATAGCAAGTGGGTACACATCTTCTAGATTCTCAAAATCTTTAGAGCTTTTGACACTTATTTTCCCTTTTGCAGGGAAATCTTGTCTGGCTGGAAGGAAAAAATCCAACTTCAACAACCAATTACGCACCAAAACTGTTACTGCTGACTCAACTCAGCATGAAATGCAATACAGACAGGCTTTTCTTTTCATGAAAGAAATCTTCTCGTAGCTCCCTCCACTTTGAAAGAAACAATTTTTAATCTTACATTTTCACATTTGGATACTCTGCTGCTCACTCTGTGGCGACAGATCACTGCATGAGAGAAGAGCTGTTGATATCCTCGGCTTAGAGCTATACTGATGCTCTGCCCTAATTTCCAACACAGTTAGACAGCACTGACATAAAGCCATCAGCTTGAAGTTGAGTCACAAAGTGGGCTCAGATTTGGTGTGTAAAGCCTGAACCAGACATATATTGCAACAGGACAAGCCACAGCTTGTTGAGACACTGATCCACATCTCATGGATACTCTCCACTGACTGGCACTTGCTGGCCCAGCCCTTAAATCTTATATAACAATCCCATCCTGCAGCAAACGCTGAAGAGAATGTTTTAGATGCTTTTGAAGGTTACACTACTGAGATATTAACAAAAATATTAGTATACTAAGTTTCACTCTAGCCTTCCTGAATATAATCTGTAACCTTGATTATGCCTATTAGCTTACCATTGGAAACTAGAAGAGGAGAAAAAGTTGAAAGGATGGAATTCTAAATACCTCACGCATCCATCAGCCCTCCTGCCCCACACTTACCCTGCCTTAATGCACCTCCTGGCTGTGGTGCAGCCACTAACATAACTTACTAAAGCACAGCAGTTTCAGAGCAACAGGAATTTTAGCTCTTTTTCCCCTTTTTACAAAGGACTAAGATTCACAGCCACTGAGTTCCTTAAAAATCCTACTGAAGAAAGGCAGAAGGAGAGGGAAAGAAATCTGTTTAGCAAGTATCTTTGAAGACAAACAGCCAGAAGAAAGTGAATTTATGAAGCAAAAGGAGAGTGTTTCACAGTAAAGGCTCACGCACAAGCAGGAAGAGTGTGCCACCAAATGCTCCATTAGAAAGTAAAGATGCTGAAAATAACCTGAGGTGGTCCTTGAGAAAAAAAAACTATTTGAAAAGATAAACTAGTCATATGCAATCTAAAGAAACACAGTTGGAAAATATACTGCATTTTAAGAGTAAGAAAAGTATTTCTACCTGGAAAGTAATAATTAAGCTTTTTAAAGTTGAACTATGTCCTGTACTAACTACTGCCTTTGAAATACAAATGTTTACATGTATTTGCTTGTTCTATAAGCACACAGACCTCAGTGAGTATTGTCTTTTAAACCTAGCTCCCATATCCAATGCAGGAAGACACCAACCAAATTGTTAAACAGCCGTAACTGCCTGTGAGCCAGGTCAGCTTCTGCCATTCCCACAAGCCGCTCCTGAAGCAGTGCCCTGTGTGGGCTCCTACCATGAGCAGTCTATACCGCAATCAGCACTGCCCAAAACCAGCTTAAGCACCTTGCTTCAACAGGCCTTCATCTGGTGCAACTGCAACACAGCTGGGAGCAAAGCTTTCAGAAGAAAAACACTCATTAGGATGACAAAATTTAGGATTATTATAATGCTGAAACTTTCCACAGCCTCTGCAGTGCGTAACTTGTCATTACTTGAGGGAACATTTAGTCTTCACAAAGGCTTACTAACACTGCTACTGCTCAGCACACAGGCAAAGGGTCATCTTTATTAAGTAGGATTTTAAAACAGATTAAATGCCTTGTCACAAAGCAGAAAGAGTACACAGAAAAATTCTACTGAAAACCTTGTGAACAATTTCCACATATTTTGCTTAGTTGTTCATACACCTTAACTCAGTGTGGGCCTGCCAGATACAGATTTTCTTGCCCCACTTCGGATTTGCTCACATCCAGAAAAAAGAAAACATCCACAAACATTCTCAGGAAAACATTGTGAAGGGTGAGTTGGCTCTGAAACTCTTGATATTTTCACCCACTATCAGGCCACTAGGGTAACAATTCTAGTCCACCTTTGGTTTCTTCAGGTATAGCACAATAAGAAAGCTTAAATGCCCATTCTGAAGATTTCAAATTTACTGAGCAATGGTATTTTAAAGCTTCTTTGCCTTTTTAGCATTGGCTTGGACATCAGATTTCTTGTGCATTTGTTAGCAAGTGCAAAAAGTTGTAAGGTTGCTCTTCCAAAGCACCCATCCACCTTATGTGACAGTCCCTCTATTCTTCCAGCAGCTGCAATCAAAAGGGTCCCTCTGTAATACTGCAAGAGTTACCTCTTCTTTTCTGCAGTGCTGTGACAGCTAGGGGCCCATTTCTTTGATGTCCAGTAATTCATGTATCTGAAAATAATTTACCAATAACTTCCTCTGCAGAGAAGTACTTCATGCCTGTCAGAAAGAGACTACTGACACAACTTTACAGAGAACTCAAGCTTCTTACACAGCTGCAGGATGACATTTCCAAACACCACCCAAGTCACATGCTTTCGAAATAACCCTCAGATTTGTTCAGCCTATTGGAGGGAATTCTCTATTTTCCTTTCTTTACCAACTCATTCAAGTCTGGATCCGGTAAATTTGTCCTTGTTTTCTAGTAGATGTTACAAGTCACTTTAATTCTGTCACATCAGGCTTTAGTGATCTTTGATAAAGAGGCATGAGCTCTATTGATTCAGGAAGACAGCATTTCAATGGTTTCTATTTAATATTTTCAATGAAACCACAAGGAGCAGAAATTCAACTTTAAAAGGCTACACTTTTCTATTGAGGCCACTCTGCTAGAGATGATACACATCCATAGCAGATATACACTGAACTTCAAGACAATCTCTTTCGCTAATTCAAGAAACTGCTGATTTTGAAGTAGAGGCATGCAATTCTTAAACAATGAGAAAATGATCTGCATACAGATTAAAGTTTGATGGAAGAATGGAAAGTGAACTCAAAACATAAAGGACCAGAAGATGAGGGTGCAATATGAAGCAAGATAGTGAAGAGTCCCAGTTTCCAGAACATACCAATTGAAAAACGCCTTCCACAACAGAAGTTACAGAGCACAAGGGCGTGGGAGTAGGGAAAGAAACAGGACTAGAGGAACTCACACAATCAAAACGTGCCAATTTTTACCAGTATTGTCACCAATGTCTACACCATCTCAAACAAAAACTTGGGTACATTGGTTCTATCTTTAGGGTCTATCTGGAAGACTGAAGGTACTCATGCTTCCATACTTCTGTGAAATATTTTTATATCTGTAAAAAATAATTATTATTTCCAGCTTCACTTTTAATCAGGGAAGTGGCAGGAGCACCAAAGAAATGCAATGGTACCATTATAACATACAAAGGACTCTGTGAAAATTCTCTCAATTTATTGTGGCATCATCAGATGTTGCCGATTATACCGTTTAAAGCTGCAACATATCACCAGACTTATTGCAACAATGACTGAACAAGGCAGAGCTGAAATTTGCTATTCTGTTAAACTTACACTGCCTTACATTTAAGCTACTTCTTTAAAAGACAATCATGCTAGATTTGTTATGGAAATGGGTACAGTTTAACTTCCATGATTCTCTATGTGCCTAGACAAGCCACTTTTTTTAAGATGTGACTTCTGGCACTGTGCCATAGACACCACGTCTAAGTAAATCCTTATTACACAGATCACTGACCTGAATCTACTGATACTCTTACAATCTGCCCATCAATCCAGCTGTCAGGTAAACTTATTACATCCCACACATGAAATATACACAACTTTAAATCGAGAAAAAAGTTACACCACTTTCAAAATGGCCATTTAAAAACTTCTACCATTACCTTTCCCCCAAAACAATGAAAAACTATTTCTGTTTCTCTGAGACTTGATACCAAACCTATGTTCCTTCAAGGTAGGAGGAAAGAAGCTATATACAAAAGGCAACTTAACTAGTTGACTCCTACTTCTTAAACACATTAAAATAATTTATTTGTGCAATGGTTTGTTTTTTATAAACTGTTTCAAGTTTCACTGTGTTGCAATTCAGTTTTCAGATGTAATTTTAAGCCAGATTTAAACAACTGTAACTCTTATATGACAACCTTATGAACGCATTACCTGTAACGTAATAATTATTATGATCAAAACATTCTCACAATGGTATTGCTAAATAAAAATCACCACACTGATTTGTATGCAGTTATGACACCACTAGGTTTGCCACTTGTCAGAATTTAAAATGTTTAAATATTCCCTTCATGAACTTGAGCCTCAGAAAACTTGTATGTATTTGAAAAGCCATGATTAAAAAAGCATGGGTTTTGATTGTGGATTTCTTTAAATTTTAAATCAGATGACAAAACTTTATTACCAGAACTGCATTTAGTTTGATAATCCACAGCAACATCAGAATGCAGCAGTACAAATTATTTGTTTCTTTCCTTAATGGAAAGGCAGAAACCAGATTTGATCGGGATTTTGTTTTAAATATTCTCCTTTTTTCAGGAAGAGGCTTCCTTCAGCAGCTCAAAAAGCCTGTAGACGAGGACTAAACATGCAGCTTCCTGGGTCTAATCACCTCAAAAGTAAAATAAAACAAAGCCCAGCCTAATGAGATGGCAAGCCCAGAAGTCACAAGTGTTAGCAGGGAGTTACTACAGCACCAAAACAATGGAAATGATGGATTTACACATAATTTATTATTCCTACCTTCCAAATACTTAGAGACTTTCTCCATTCGAACTGCCATACGGTAAAGCGAATGAACAGAAAGATGCAACATTTAGCTTTAAAATCATTTACAGAAAACAAGCCCCCCCAAAATACTGAGTTATGATTATTAGTAGTACAAAGGAAGTTATTTGTCCGAACCTGAGGTTAGGTCAGATCCTCTGTTCTTTTTATCTTCTACTATTTCATAGAATGGGCCTATTACTTGAAGTAATTCTTCAACTTTGTCCGTCATTGGCATACTCTCAAGAATCTGCACAAATCCAAAATATGAAGCATCTTATGAAACAGCATTTCAATGACTCATTGATTTCAACTGATTCTAGAAACTGCTGATCATTGTAAAGCTCAGCAACATTTCACTAAGTCATTAAACGTTATTCTGATTTTTTTACCTTTTTTTTAATTAGAGGAAAACAACATAAAAGTAAATTACTAGACAAGAATCTTCTAGTTGTATTAACTTCTTTTAGGTGAAGAAGAGATGACAGAGCAAATGCAATTGCCAACACTAAAAGACAGCCTTGGCACAGTATTTATTAGTAGACTTGGGAATTCATTACTTCAGCAATTTCAAACTAAACCATCTCAAAGTTCAACAGGTTGCTGTTATCTGATATAATTATTTTATAAACAAGTCTTTCCACAGAGAAAATAAAACTTAAAGACTTGTTTTGTCTTAGAGCATTCTTCGTATTGTCAAACCCTGACATCTTCAGTGGAATGCAAGGAGCAGATCAAAAGTACGCTACTGGGTCCACCTAAACCCAAACATAAAAATGGACACAATACAGCAAAACTGGGACAGGACAAAGAAACACTTAGAGGAAGAACAAACTAAAACCAAGTTCTGCTCTTGAAGTAATTTGGAGCATTTCTTCATTTTAAGTTAATAAAAAATAATACCTTCCATCATCTGATAGGAATGTAAAATCTTAAATCTAAAATAGATTAAACAGAAGAGATTCAATAATTGAACACTATTTTAAAAGCACACAATATTTTTGTCGAGTTTAAGTCCTTTCAACTAAGCTTTTTGCCAATAGCTTTGTTCCTCTTTCACCCTCTACTTTTTTAGTTATTATATTTTAAAAGCTTCAATAGCTATAGGAAAAAAACTCATGTTGAAGCAAACTAACAGCGACAGGGCACCTCCTCCTCCAGAGGGGCACCAAGAAAGCAACAGATGAAGGTACAAGTTGCCACAGAACATGCTGCTCGAAAGCACCAGGCACACCACTAAGCAGTAGGAGCAAGAGCTACGGCATTATTTCACAAAGCAGGAGCACCAGGCAGGCAATCATGTAACAAGTCATCACTTGCAAACCAATCAAGAATACCAAGAGACAACAGTCCTATCAAACTGCTGTTTCATTGCCACTTCTCTGATCTATTCAGTGTATATAATTCATTTCGTGTTTGTTAGGGAGAAATACTCCAGAGTTGGATATGAAGCAGAGATTGAACAGTTTTGTGATTACTTTTTTTTACTTCAATAACATTGAGAGAAACCAGAAGCCTATTCTAGAATAAAAGACTTGTGTTTGTTATGTGTTTACTTCTAGAGTCAGCTCTCTAAACTCTTTCACGCGTGCATTTCTACAATGTCTGCACATAACTGCTCTCCATCTGTTCTAAACAGACCTCAATATCCTCTGTGCTACTTGGAGCAGTCCTTAGAATCTTTTCTAACTGATAGCTTTTATGTGAGTATGAAAAGAGCAAGTACTTCCACAAACAAAACCAAATGCTTGCTTATATAGCCACTAGGCATAATAAGCAATCTCAAAATTTGAAAGTGCAAAATAAGTTTTTATGTATCCTGAATTACTGTTTTCTTTCTATATCAGACAACTCATATATAAAGACTCAAGTTTTAAATTAGAAGAACCATATAGTTAACAATTCTTCATGCTAGGATATCACTTATTTCTAATATATAACAAAACAATATATCTGAAGTGTAACTAAGTTAGTTTCAGCAGTATTGTAATATAAAATTTCAGAAATACTACTTGAAACATAAATTAACCTTGAGTCTGAGCTCAGGTGCATTTTGTTTACTTTAGCTAGAAATAAGACATTTGGTCATCTCTCACCAGCACTGCAAAAACTCATCCAGACACATTCCTCAACATCTGCAATTTTCAAGGCTACCACATTAAGTGAGGGGGAAAAAAAAAACCAACAAACAAGTTTAGAATAAAAGCCTCTTGTGACAGGGTCATCTGATGTATGTATAGCCCAAACACAATGCCCTAATGCTAGGGACATGCCCTGGAGGCTGAGGGAATATGGCAATCTTATACAACCTTAAACACAGTCCTGTGACACCAGCGTACAAGTGGTTTTTTGCCCCCTTAGACATGGATACCTATGCTGCAACAGCAGACTGCCCACAGTAAGACCACATGGATTAGTGCAGTATGTGCTGATAGAACAACCCAGTGGATCCATTTGAAATGCACTTCCACTGACATTTCAAGAAGAATCAATTGGGTTGGAAAAGCTGAAGCTAGTATTTCAAATGTGAGAGCTGAAACAGCATCAAAGCAGGGTAAACAGATTCCTCAGTTTCAAAGCTGAGCAAGGCAAGAAGTCATTTGCTCTCCAATCCCTACATGTAAATCATACAGAGGCAGAATATTTGTGCTTCATTAGGGCCAAGTAAGCAGATCTCCTTAGAGGAGGCTCACTAGAGGGGTTTTTTTTAGAACAAACATTGCAGTTTCGCTTAGTTTTAGAGTCCTGACCAAAGCAGTTACTACGCCGAAAAAAAAAAAAAAGGTAGTCTACTGAAGTATTACCACATTTTGAATCCAAGATCTGATATGAAGCACTAAACCTTGTGGCGCACATTCAAAAAGTATTATTAAAATTTAGTAAAATTTTTTATCAAACAAACAGCATTCGGCCTTCTGTATTTTCTGGAGTTGCTTATTTTTCATTTTAAAGCAGATACAGTAATACCAGCAGGAACTAAATTACCAAAATTACAGACAGGAAAAAGACCGGTAAATCAGACTCCAGCTCCTTGCCTAGTAAATGTTTTTGTTGTATCAACCATTAAACAGGTTAAGAGTTTGAGGTAGACATAGTGGCACTGGAAAAAAGCAACTGTATTCAGAGCAGAACTTAGATTTTCTCCCCTTGATGCTCATCTCATTATAATAATATATTACAATTACCCTTTTATCCAGATTGACAGCAAATAATCTTTAAATGGGAAAAGCCACCTAGAAAAGCTTCAGTGAATAGACTGCAGTGAAAAGGGTTAGTTAATAAGACAAGAAACTTAAACTCTGTTTACTTCGGTTAATGCTGCAATTCCTGCTTAATATAGTAACTACGACTGTTTACAGGTTACATCTCTATTCCAAAACAGAGCACATTACTCAATGCCGACTGTTTGACTGCAACTATAATATACAAGGAATATTTTCATGACAAGTACATAAAATTCAGGTTCATGAATTCTTTCTGAAAAATCAAAGATGATTAAGTTTATATATTTGATTATAATCATGTCTCCAGCCATGAGAGTGAGACTTTTGCTCCTGAAGACCTTCTAGAGAGTTGTTTTATTCTCTTTTTCAGGATAAGGATCTCCCAACTCTAAGAACTGAGGCAGTTTGCAGTACAGCTTTTCTTCTGCTCTACTTTAGGTTTCACTGTTTTCCCCACTGCCTCCTTTACCTTGATTTCCATAATTCACTTTCTTCACCTCTGTCATTTAAGTTCCATATCAGCTAGAGCTCTCCTGTTTCTCTGAAAACAACACAAATTTTGTAGCTTTAGAACGAACGATATAATTTTCTTCTCCCTATGGGCCAAACAGCACTGTACTGAATTAAACAGTTCACACAGGCGATAACTCATTTGAACCTTTGACAACAGTAGTCAGCAAGAACCGCTTCACGTTCCTTAATTTATTTCTGGAACATTTTAGAAGATCCCTTTTACTCATCAGTAAACTTACCTTTTTCATTTCTTCAACATAGGCTATCATGGCTTCTTCTTTGGACATGTTTCCCAAGGCACTCCAAGCATCCCTAGGAAAGAAAGTCACACACACCTTCAGTATCTTCGGGATGTAGTGGATTTTTTTCAACCTGGCCTTAAGTAGGTCAGTTATGTAATGCCCAAAGTTTCTCTGATACAAATAAAATGCAAGAACAATTCAAAATTTTTTTTAAAGTACAAATATATAAGTTGCTAGGATAGTCACACAGTGGTACATCAATAAAGAAACACACTGAACAGACTGGGGACCAAAGAGTTCCTCACTGACTAGCTATGATCTTGTACACAGAAAGTTATCAAGCCCAGATATGAGACACACACATTTCCCTTTTGACTGAGTCTAAGACTCTCTGCTGTATAAAAATAACAGGCACAGACACTTCAGCCAGCATTTATAAACAGCTGTTACCAAGTTAGAACAGGCTACAGGAAAAATCTTTCCTTTCTGAGCTTAGCAATTAGGGAAAGACACATCAGCCTAGGAGGCAAACAGTGTAACTATCACCCTCAGTTACTACAGCAGCTACATACAACCTAAATAAAATCTTCCCCTCTCCAACTCTGCAAGACAGAAAACTGCAACCAAATTTATCGGTATTGCACAAGGAATCTGTCAGAACACAGACTGCAATAAAACATTTCCTCAGTCTTGCATGTGATTTGACATCCCAGAATATTTGTCCCACTTGCAGAAAAACACCAAGGTTGGTGGCTTACATTCCAGCTACAACCAGCCAGGTGGGTGGAAGCTTAATACCCTAGTCCTCTGCAAAGATATCCCTGCACCCTAACCTGGGGAGCCCAAGGAGGAAGGAAGGAATAAAAAAAAAAAGTCAGAGGAATCATTTCACAGATCCCAAGTCCACCATGACCATAAAGACAGCAATAAGACTTGTTCTTCAGGACAAATCATCATTAAAATATAATAAACAAAACATTTACACTAGCTTTTCAAAGAGAACTTAGCAATTTGGTGAATCAGAAGTCTTCCCAGGACAAGGAGAATACAGATAGTGGGAAGCCCTGCCACTGAGCGGACAAACCAGAAAGACACATAAATGTAACCTCTCCCCAAGAGCTTGAAGCTGTATCAGTGGCTACCAATGAGCACTTGTTTACTTCAGGCTCACACCATACATGAAAACTCAAGAAGGAATAACTCCAGACACTCATCCACATCACTCATTCTGCAGAGCACCTACAGTTTCATTTTACACCATGAGATAAACGCTGCTGAGGTACCATGATGGTGGTTGCCCAAGAAAAACCTGTCCATCTGCAGAACCCAAGCAAATGTTTCCACCTGCAACTCTGAGAAGTTATAAATTATCTGAGCTAGAAAGTTGGAATACAACAGAAAACTAATTCAAGCATCACATGTTGTAAATGTTCTTTCTTTTAAGAAAGAAACTAACTAAACTCTTCCTCCAGGTGCCACTCATCTAAACACCTCCACTCCATGCATTAAAAAACCCAAAACAACAACTCATGAAAAGTTACCATTTATATCTACCAATGGGATCCCAAAATCCAGGTCGTGGAATGTTACAGGGTCCTTGGGTTGCTTGCTTATAAAAGCTATAGAACTTGAGCATCATTTCATTCGTTGGCTGGAATGAACCTAGTGAAAGCATTTTAAAACACAATTAAATTGCCATCAAGAATATTAACAAGTATTTTACAAGCTTAGTATTTCTGTGAGGAAACAGCCTGCAGTTTCACAGCAGTACAATTTAAGTCAACTCAGAACATTTTCATTTCATCTACCATGAAACAGCACCACTGAAAATATTTACTTCACAAACAGGGAGTTTCAGATTGCCTTTAAGGGACTATAACCTTTACTACTCCTAAGGTCAGACTCCACGATTAGAATTAAAAAAATGAGATAATAAGTAACTTAAAGCAGTGTCCTTTCACTCAGTTTAAAAGGAAAGTTTGCCATTACAAACTTATGGAGAAACTCCAGAACTTAAAATAAAAAATAGTAAAAAAAAAATAACCAAACCAAACACAATGAACCCAAAACACACCCCTCTGCAGCGTTTTTGTTTACTTTGGGTATTTGACAGCACTTTCAGTAACAGTTTCACCATACCTCCTGACTTTGTTTTCTTTTCTTCCTCTGCGAACACACTTTTTAAGAGGTAAAAAATGTAAATATAAAACTCTAACAGCTGGCAGGGAAAATTCTTAACCAATCCATCAAATACTTTGAGGTTCGATTCTAATCACTAAGAGAAGTTCACAGTGGCCTTTATCTTAGTACCTAAAAAAAATCCAGTTTTACTTACACCACAATGATGTATGCAATAACCAACTTTTTTTAAAATTATTATCACTACTCATAAGAAAGATACGTTATGGGTTGGGGGGGTTGTTGGTTTTGGGTTTTTGTTTGTTTGGGGTTTGTGGGGTTTTTTTTGCTTTTCCGTTCTGTTAACTCTTTCAGCAGAGGGAACTTAAGGTAACAGCTTCGTCAAACCAACTTCAGGATTTCAGGAGGGCTGAAATCGCGGACAGCTGACAGACATCGTCGTCCATGCGCCCAGCTGAGGAGCTCGGAAGCCCGAGACGGCGTTTCCCTGGCAGAGGCGGAGCACGGCACTAACGCCGAGCTTTCCAGCGGTTCTCCAGCCACCGGCTCTGGCGCCGCCCAGCCCGGCGCCCCGGAGGCCGCGGGCACAGCGGGGCCTCGCCCACCGCCCCCCGGGCCCTGCCCGCTCCCGGTGCCCGCCCGGCCCCGATGGCGCCGCTGCCGCCGGGCCCCCCTCGCCGCACTCACCATTTTTGGGCAGGCTCTGGATCACCTTCACGGCCGCCTCGAACCTGGTGGCGTGCACGGAGCCGGTCTCCGCCATGGCCTCGGCCCCTCGCCGCCTCCTGCTCGGCTGCCGGGCCGCGTCCAGCGGGGCGGGCTCAGCTCAGCTCCTTCGCCGCAGCCGCCTGCACGGAGCGGTGCCGGGAGCCGCCGGGCCGTAGCCACCCGGCCCTGGCTCCGATCCCCGCCCCCTCCCCTCCGGCGGGGCCGGCACAGCCCGCCCAGCACCTCGGACCGGCCTCGCCTCGCCCCGCACCCCCGCCCGGCCCCGCGCACAACCCGCCCTACACCCGCCCCGACCTCAGGCGCCCATGTTATGTCTCCCACAGCGGCTCCCTGCCCTGCCCTCCTCCCGCACCGCCCCGGGGCCGCGGGGGCACGCCGGGAAACGTAGTTTCTTTGTCTCTACATCTTCTTCCTCCCCGTTCTCCCTTGTTCTTCTATAGCCACAATACATGAGAATTTCAATCCATGCCATATCCCAGCCGTTTTACGGACCTCAGTTATCCTCAGGAGATCCGCTGCCCACCACCCTGGCAGTTTGCTATGCTGCTGCCTCCCCTCTTCATAGCCATCCTCATACTCACACCTATCCACACAATTCACCTAAATTACCGCTATTTTTTAAATCGTTTTAATGACTCCCATTTAAATGAAAATTTTAGGCATGAGAGTTTAAAAGCCTAGAACCCAGGGAGCACCTATTTCCATGGTATCCAGAGAAAGGGGTGAATACCAGCACAGTACCACCAGCTAGCTCGGCAGCTAAATAAATGAATGGCCTTATTCAAAAGTGCTGCCCATCCAGCACTCTGCAAAGTCAAACAAAAGTATGCTAAACCAACTGCTTTTGTAGCAAGTGGAATAATTTACCCAGTGAGCAACAGGATGAATTAATAGCCCCATTGAATGGAATCGAGTACAAAATCTTGGCATTCAAGTCAGTTCGTTTATCTAGTACACAATATATATTTTAAATTCCTCTGCAGGCAGTTGTGTGCTCACAGGGTATGCCCTCTGGTGGGAAAGAAAAGCTCCAGAGAGGGAATTAGAGCAGATCAGCTCTGGCTCTGCTGAGCTAGTACATTCCATAAGGTCAGCAGCCAGCTGGCCTGGGGAGAGCTTTGCTGGAGAGAAGCTGATACTTCCAGAGGTGTTCAAATAGAATTCCCCACACTGGGCAAATGATGAACCCATGTTATGAGCACAGCTCAACTCATGAATGCTACAGAATCGTTCATCTGCATTTTTTGATTCAAGTGCTAGATTTCTAAAGGTCTTGTGAGCTTCATACTAAGATCTATCATCTTTTTTATCCATGAAGGTAGGAATGACAGAAACCTAGATCAAAGGGAAGTGGTTTTTTTGAAGATAAATGGGTCTCTCTATTCTTTGAGCATGCAAGGAGTTAATTTCAAAAAAGTAATACAAAGATTAGGGGCCTTTTGTGAGGCTAGCTGATGCATACATTCTATTTACCTGAGATAATCTATAATGATGTTTGCCTTTTTACTTGATTTAAGAGAAATGCAGTCTGCATTTTTATAACAAATGTTCCCAGACTTTCACTGGAAGTAGGCTTTAAAAGAGATGCAAATGGCAACCTATTTAATGGTTGTGTGCAGAAACAGAAGCTGCCCTTTGAACTGAAGATGTATGAGAGTGTAAGATTTGCAGATCCAGAATGAGGCAGTTGAAGTAACCCAAAATAATCAGTACCATCATGCTCTGAGACAAGGATGAAATACTAAATGAGAGGCAAATTTTCACCACTGTAAACATATTATGAGAACATATCACAAATGACTAGTTGATTTTAATGCTCATATATAATACTAATTGTTATTAGATGTCCTTATGTATGTTTTGCATTCTCTTTGCAGTGACTTCCATGAAGAGTTAACAATAACCATATGTTGAGTACAGGTAATAAAGGAGACCTTCTCATCTCTTGCAGACAGCCAGGAGTGGATCTGCAGCTTTATCTCAAGGAGGACTCCATTCTTTGGGGAAAAAATTATATGACGTTTCACTATTGTCTTTTGAGTATCTATTGAGAATAACCATATGCTTGTAAAATCTAATTATAATCTGTGTGTTAACTGGGCTGTGTTTCCATTGTTCCACAAGAGCAGTTTCCAAAACAATCGTATGACTTGCTCTTATTCTTTTTTGTGATCCAGCATATAAGGAGCCAAACTTCGGGAACTGTGATACAAAGACTGAGCAGTGACGCCCATCAGCTGACATGTGAGAGAGGAGAGACCATGAAACTCTGCTACCAGTGAGAATTGGCAGTGAGCGTCATGTGTGACACTTCATATGTCTGAGTGATTTGCTGTCCTCACACTTCCCTTCACTCTGTGTTTCACAAACTACTTATGGAGAGCCTGCAAATCACTGAAATGAGGCATTCCTGGCAGCGTTGAGACACAAACCTTGTATGGATTTGCTGTCGTAGTTGCTGAAGAAGTATACTTAGGGTATGTCTGAAGAAATGGCATGATCCTGAGTGTAACCTTGGACCTATCCTTCACAGGTGGATTAGGGATTGTTATTGAGTTCAGTGGTATTACAGCACAGGATAGTTTATCAAAGTCTGATGTGTGGAGCTACCTTACAATCCTCATTTTGTGCTGCGTGTAAGCTGCCACAGTCCATTCAAATTGTTCTCATTTGTATCCCAGGTCTGCCTTAGTTTTCTAGCAGTTGCTTCCAGTGCTGAGCTACTCCCCAGCCCAGCTTGAAGAGCACCTTCATTTTACTTGAGGGACAAAGGAGTCAGTTAAATTATGCAAGCGAAAAGCTGAAACTGGAACCAATTACGCGTATTGCTCCCTCAAGGGTCTAAAGCATAGCAATATATTTTACAGAATATTTTTAAACGGTTCTTAAGAAAGTGGACCATAGTCTCATATGCATTATGAGCAAGTTCTGTAAGCTACCAGATCCAAGAGCATGTAATTTTAGCAAAGCTTACTTTTTGAAGTATATAATCCAGCGGGGAGGAAGAATGAATTATTTAAAACCTAATAGTCATAATTGTGAAGAACTAAATTAGCATTACAATTTCTGAGTCAAATCTACATGCTGATGAAGAATGAAAAGATGTTGTCTAAGAAGGGAGGAGCTTTTCATAAGGAGCAGCTTTCTACATTGTTTACAGTAGAAAGGCTGATGTATCAAATAACATTTACTTAGAGGATTTTTTAATGAAATCATTAAGGATATTCGTGTCAAAACCAACAGCTCTGAAGAAAGAGAACTATTTGCCTACCATGAATATGGCAAAAACATCAGCTGAAATTTGCTCACTTATATAGGCCAATCCCTGTTCCTCACGAAAAGCCCTTTGGGCAAAGGACTAGTTTGACACAAACAAGAATGCTTTTGGGGATGGAAGTTTTCTTGTGAGGTTCAGATACACCCCTTAATAACTCGACTAGAAATACCAATTCATTTCACAGTTGGGGATTAAGTAATGGAATTATTTTTAACTATTCTACCATTATTAATGGCAGCTTCTTTGCTTAAGGATTAGCCTTCTTGTTGTCAAAGGCATTAAAGGTAATAGACCCCATTTCAAATCTCTTTTGAGATATTCAATTCGGGGTCTTTCAGTGATCAATATTTCAACCCACGTTTTTGTTTTCCCCCATTTCTCACATATTTCACAAAAGTAGATGCAGTAAAAATGTATAAGCTAAGATCCGTTTCATAAAATGCTCTTTGAAGAACAAAGTATGATCATACTTCCGAAGACATTCAGCACATTTGACTTTGCATTGAACCATACATCACTTATGAAGTCAAAACCCTTTACAGGTTTATATCTTTGTAGGTCTAAAGTATAATGCAGTGCCATATTGTGTCTTAAGCCCCTCTTTTTTTCTCCAAGCCTACTATTCATTTCTTTGATGAAATTTTTAATAAAGTTCAGTTTTCCTTACTGCCTCGAGATATTATTCTTGTAGAGCCAGCAGACAGTTATAAGAGAGTTGTTCAGATTTTCCATATTGTAGAAAGAACATTTTAAAAATCCTGTTCCATTACAGAGCCATGAACTAAGCTTTGAAAAGTATGTAGTTTCATCATTCAGCAGCAATGACAAACTGTGTCTTATAATAAACAAGAGCAGCAGACAGCTCATAATAAATACTTATTCATTTCCCTTCAGTAAAATACACAATATCTGGGGGGCAATTTGTGCTGTCATTTACAGTGATATAAATTTGGAATTACTTGATTGATTTGGAAATATTTATGGTATTACATATTTTCATAATGCAAATGAGTAAGAATTTGACTCTGAAAAACCTGGCATATTATTTCTGTTTTGACATTTGTGCTTCTTGTCTTCACAGCTACTGCTGCTAAAGTTTTAGAAGCCTATCCTTGTGTAATTTGCCTCTTGGGAATAGCAAACAAAATACTGTGACTGTATCATATTAACGTGCTTATGCAATGGCATATTTATAGCCAGACAGCTCTTGTGACGTTTTTTTTTCAGTATCTGGAAGGGAAAAAAACAAAACACCCTTAGTTTATGCATGTTCTTTAAAAACTCTAACAAATGAATTTTATTATTCTTTCTAGCAAATCTGAAAAATTACTTTGTGAAAATGTAGTCATCACACACGTTTACCAGTGTGCAAAGCCTGGGATATAACTGGCAACTCAATTGAAAACTCAGGCATTTTCAGGCCTGTGTTTATCATTTTGGATATTCACCCAGGCAGAAAACATGCCACTATGGTTTTGGTCAATGGGTTTCAACAACCTAATCTAACAGATTGGGATTGAATTACTGGAGTGAGTCCTCCAACAAACTCTGAGAAGGATTTAAGACTGAGTTGAATTGGGTGTCTCAGCACAGGACCACCACTTCAATGCAATCTCCATAAGCACCCACCTCTGTTGCCATAGGAGTCATAGTAAAAAATCAGACTTCCATAGAAATCAGTGCCAGCTAGACTCTTTTTCCAGTTATAAACCACAGATTTTTCATTCTCATATTTAGATACAGGACATTATCCAGCAAAGTTTATCTAGGAAGCTTTATTGAGAAAGAAGTTTGAATTCAGGAACTGTTTAAATTTATACTATTAGATCATTTCTGCTCAGCTGAAATAAAAAAGTCATCTCTGCTTAAGTTTTGGG